ATTTGCAACAAAAACAAGCAAGGTCAGAGAGCACCAAGGACCCCTCATGTCAACCCTGAGCTACAAGTATTCTCCTTTATCAGTTTATTCTATTATCTCAGGCCAATATTTCAACAGTTTGCACGTATCACCATTTGCATGTCAAATAACAGGCGGGAGGCCGTTTCTGAGTTATCACTAAGCGGAGATTGGACCGTGCTATAACCAACCGCATCGTCCTTCCCTACAGCAGGCAACCAATTGCCATAGAAACAGCTGAGGGTACAGTATCATCCTTCTTATCACCATAGTAACAACCGAAAGACTCCGTTCCTTCGATCGCTTCTTCGTACCCAGCAACCTGTTCCCGATGAGACGAAACGGAAGAAAGGCGCTTTCTAGGCTTTCTTTTTCTCCAACCCAAGAAACTCATCAATTCCCGCTGTAGTCCCCGCCCCTCGTTTCTCGCGGAGGGTGATGGGAATTCCAAGATGGCCGCGCCCGTTTAAGAAGCTGGAAGAGGGGAGAACTTGCTGCTGCAACTGCAATCGCCATCTGAGGGGGAGACACGGGGAGAAGCCGCTGCAGCTTAGGCCCGCAGCCGATCGCCCTTTCCTGTGTCACTCAGGTCCGTGGGTCCCTCTGCCTCCCACAGTTTATCACAGTTAGTTCCCGCCTTCCTTTAGCTTTCCAGTCCATCAAGGGCTGGCATGCACGTTGCATACCCAGAGACTCCTCCGAGTGTTTCTAACTCTTTCATTCATTCGTCATCAGTAGTTGTGACAAATTTGTGCTCTGATATACAAGGCAGTTGTAGTTATTTTGCTTCTTTTGGAATTGGCATGTGTTGGCATTTTCAGGCTTTTCAAAATTTTCAAAGGATGTACCAAAGAGGGGAAAAAGTGACAATATTTTTATTTGAATCTGCAGATGAGTAAATCATAAGTAGAAACAATATCAACAGTTGTATTGAAAGGAAGTGAGGAAGAATCTCACTCTTACGATTTTTAAATATAATGTAGGCAGTAAAATGGTGTAACAATTTTGCATTTCTCTATAATTTATGCCATTTATTTTGCAGTGTTTTTTTAACTAATTGGATCCTTCTGAGTGTTGTATATGGTTTATGATTATTGTATATGGTTTATGATTATTATATCTTAGAACAGGAGTCTTCAAACTTGACAGCTTTAAGACTTGTGGACTTCAACTCCCAGAATTCCTCCTCCAGTCATGTTAGCTCAGGAATTCTGGGAGTTGAAGCCCACAAGTCTTAAAGCTGTCAAGTTTGAAGACCCTTGTCTTAGAATATCAACATATATTGTTTTATGATATCTCCAAAGGATTGTCCTGCACATATAATAAGGAGTGTGTTATGGCAAATACTTTGTCGAATGAAAGGCCTATAACATCTTTGGAATTCAGCAATCCATTTCAAATACTTGTGCTAAATCACTAGAGAGAACAATTTGCATCAATTATTTGGTAGAATTTTTATAAGAATATTTTGGTTGATGGTTTCCAGTGCAATGAAAGATGGACTTTGGGGTTAAGAGGTTTTAGTTTAGTTCCTTCTTTATGATTTTCAGGGATATTGATATCAATGAGGCTAACAAAAACTGTAAGAATTGCACAGTATTGTGTATGCTTTGAAGGATCCTGTGTAATCTGGTTTCTGTTTTGGACTTTCTTTAGAAATAATGTTGATATTTAGAACTCATGTCGAACATCTATGAAGAGAGGTTAACAATGATTGCAGCAGGGGATTTGCAGGAGTTTGTCCCTTTTGGCCGTGACCACTGCAAACATCATCCTAATGCGCTGAACCTGCAACTACGGCAGCTGCAACCAGCCTCAGAACTTTGGTCATCAGATGGAGCAGCTGGTTTGGTGGGGTCACTTCAGGAAGTTACCATCCATGAGAGACACAAGGTAGAAATGCTTTTGAAAGCAGTATTTTATATTTAGCAAGCTTGTACTTAGCATAGAATGAGAAAGTGGTAAGACTGTGGATAGGATAGGGGAAATATATTCTGTTAAACCTGTTTCTGGGTTTTTAGAAATACATAGGTAAACACTGAATTGATACAAGATTTAAAAAGTGAATAAAAGCATTGATCACACAAGTAGAACATAAATAGTAGGTTTGTAGAGCTTAGAGAGCTTAATCAACAGATAAACGACAGCACTAAAGACCAATTCTCTATTTTGGGAATGTTTGCTATCTGCCAAATTGCTCCTATACTTTTAATCTCTTTTGTTCACTCTCTTCTACCAAAACAAAATTTAGAGCTGGCCCAGAGCATTCATGTATAAATCTTTAGAAGAAGGCTATCACTTTTTTTTGTTAGGACTAAAATATTAAACAGTATAGCAACATTAAAATATTAAGTACAATAATGATTTGTTGAGAGACTTCATTGAGACTATTATCCAGTTTGGATAATAATGATTAAGACATCAGACGAGAAACTAGGAGACTGAGTTCTAGTACTGCTTAGGACTAGATGACTTTGGGCTACTCACTTTCTCTCAGCCTAACCCACCTCTCAGGGTTGTTGTGAGTAAAATAGGAGGAGGAAGGACTGTTCATTGCCTTTAACTGTTTATAAAAAATAATAACGGCAGGATAAAAATAAATAGAATAAATGTTTTGTATCTTCTGCATTCTATTTTTGACTATAACAACAGTTCTGTTCTGAAAGAAATATTCTGAGTTTTTTGTCAGATTTTTTTTTATCAGATTACTATAGATTATTTCTGTAATTGTGCTGTCTTACCCATCAAATGTATTTTATCCATAAGCATACCGTATTAGAACCAAAAATTGTTGAGAAATTCAGGAAAACAGGGTGATACTTGATTGAACACAGATTGCTTTTGTAACTGATGCTAGAAAAAACCTAAACATTTATGGTTAGTTTTTAAAATAATTTTTGCATTAGTCTTTTTAGAAAGCTAAGTCTACTGATCTTCAACAATCACCAGAACCACTAAAATAAGTTATGCAGTGTATCATCATTTTTTTCAAACCACACTTATGATCTAAATGAGCATTACTGCACAATAATAGTGATATTCTTTTTTTTTTCCTTTTAGGAAAGTTGGAAGTTAAGGAAGGGCATCAGTGAGGTTGGGGAAGAAGTAGAGTATGATGAAGAACTGTATGTGGCTGGTAATATGGTCATTTGGAGCAGAGGAAGTAAAAACCAATCTTCAGCAGTTTATAAAGCATTTACTGTTGACAGTACTGTTCTGCAGGTACGAAAAGTGGTACAGTATAGAAATTGTTTAGCTACATTGCCAAGGAAAGTTAAGGTCATGCTTGCCTTTGTGCTTTATGTTTAAAATTTGTTTCAAATTTGTTTTGAAAATAACAACCAGAGAATGGAGAAAAAGCTTCATTAGCACAAACTGCTTAATGTTCATATGATCTATAATTTCATTTCCTGATTTTTCTATATACTTCAGCTTTAAAAGTATCTGTCCAGAAGAATGTGGCATGTGAGAACAAGGTTGCATGACTTTAAAAAAGGGATTTTTTCCTCAGCTTGTATACTGCTTAAAAAAATTCCCCCTGAAATTGTTATTGTCCTATTAATAATGAGAGCATTCTTTCTTCTTCTTGGAAAAAAAAAGCATGAGATACAAATGATTTTCAGGAGGAAAATAGTGAAAAAGAAACGGATTTATAATTTCTCATAAAATCAAAGTCCTGACCTAATTTCAATGTCCCACAAAATCAGGCAAGACAGCCGATCTTTATTTAAGGTCATCAACCATTAAAAGATACAAGTTCTTACAATGAGTCCTCACAGATGTGGCTGTCACAGCATCCTTATGATCATGTGATTGCACTTCAGGTGCTTAGCAACTGGCTGGCAGTTATCACATTGCAGCATCCCATCCTCATGTGTTCACCATTTGCAACCTTCACTGTTTGCTTGGAACAAGCAAAGTCAAAGGGGAAACTGGCAGAAGGCCTCAAATGGCAATTACATCAGTGGCCCCCAACCTTTTTTGTGCTACGGCATCAAAAAATGATCTGCGGCCCGGTACCGGCATCAGCACGCATGGCAAGGCGAGCTGAGCGACCGGCCAGCCAGCCGTCCCCCGCTTCTCCCCGCCACCTTCAACTCCTCCTTTGTACCTTTGTCGATGGGCTTCGGGACGGCTTCGGGACGGTCGCTCGGCTCGCCTTGCCTTGGGTGCTGAAAGAATCCTCACGCCTTAGTTTTGTTCGAAACTGCCCCCCCTTCGATGAAACTAAGGCGCGAGGATTCCTTCAGGACCCAAACGCCGCTTTCCAGCCGGAAAAGCTCACCGGAAGCACTTTCTCATCAATGGCGGCGCCCAGCAAACCGGCGGCCCGGTAGAAAATGTTCCACGGACCGGTACCGGTCCGGGGCCCGGTGGTTGGGGACCTCTGAATTACATGACTGCAGGATGCTGTGACCACCCAGGAATCGCCTAACAATAGCAACTTGTAAGTCAGTCATATGACATTGCCACTTACAACCATGTTGCTTAGTCATTGCTTAGTTTCCAATCCTGATTACTGTTGTTAAGTGAGAACTTTCTGTAACCTGCACATTTAGCCTTAGTCTTCAGGACAGAATGTTGGCATTCCAAGCTTAATCAATGGAATCATAAGAAAAGCATGCAGCTTCAGAACAACGTTTTTTTCTCTTTCACTCATCTCTAAAGTAGGAGTGATGTAACTGTGTAAAGCACCATGTTAATGGATTAAGAATGTTTTGGTGGGGTGAGAGGTGTTTTTTTTCTTTTTCAGGATATTTTTTTCATTTTGTTTTGCCTTCTAATAGCTCACTATTATGTAGGGATGTTGCCATTTTAGCGGAGCTATACTGAGCCAGAATTTGAAAATCAAAATGATAATACCATAGTTGCTGATAACTAGTTTTGAATATATAGGACTGTTTTCAGAACATAGAAGAAAACAAAGCAAATTATTTATTTCACTGATTTTTATTTTATTTTAGGCATTGTGGTGTGACTTTTCAATACCCCAGGAAAAATCTGAAAGAAATAAAGGTAAAAGTAATCTTTTAGACCATTTGATTTAAGATCTGGAATTGGAAAAGCATTGTCCACGTTGATATGAAGCTGCTCCAGAAATCAGTGCAGAAAATGCAGCCTTTTGTGACAAAAATAGATGAATGGAAGATAATTTGAATCTCACTTGTCTCCCAATTTAGATAGCTGTCAGTTAGTAGAAAAATGTATCTGCATATTACAGAGCTCTTGCATAAATATCCACAGTATTGAAGGAAAGGATTACACTGCTTCTTTACCCTTTCAGGTAAGCTGTATCGAAGTATTATTTCACCTCTTTTTTAACCAGAAAAGTAGCTGTAGTAGATTCTGGATTTTTTAAAATGCTTTTTATAATTGAACACGGTTAAAGGACAATTTTTCAGTAAAATAGAAATTATGGATAAATAATTAAAACATGAAATTTCTGTTAGTTGGATTAAATTAGATATTTTTCCACTATAATGAAATATTTTTAATGTAACTTTTTATAGGTAGCGAATGTCTGGCCCACAAAATACGGCTTGTTATTTGAACGTAGTAGTTCATCGCATGAAGTGTCTCTAAATCCAAACAGGTAAAGTAAGAGGCTCATTGCTTAGATCAGAGTCCCTCAACCTTTTCAGTTTTGTGGACCAATGGTGGGGATGGTTCCACACACATGCATCCCCATTTGTGTGAACAGTGAGCAAATGCGGGACTTGTCAATCGCAACACATCTCCCAAGATTGTTGTTATAAATTGAGGAGACCCTCCCAAATAGGCTACATGCACTGTCAGAAAAAAAGTGAAATATAAAGATAAAATATCATAATTGCCATATTCCTAGTTTTCAAGCTATTGTTCAGAATAATGGATGGGAATTATGCAAATGTTCATGTGTGTGTGCATAGCATCATATTTCCTTCCATTAACTTATATGCCTAACTTAGAACATTTCTGATCAAATCACAGTTCATTGCTAATATGCAAATTGTCACATTGGAGCTTATGGTAATTTTGGACATGACTTCAATTTGAAGTTGTTATCAGAACATTTGTGGATGTATTTAAAACTTTTGTTCATTTTTTTTTAGAGAACCTTTGCCTACCATGTTCAGCATGCTTCACCCATTAGATGAAATAACACCAATGGTTTGTAAGTCTGGAGGTAAATTATGTAATGCACAAAAACAAAGATAATTTTAGATCAGCTGTAATCAGAGACACTTAGCTTTGTTGACTGCTCTGCATTTGATAGCTTTTAAAAATATGAGATACTGGGATACATACTGAATTATTTATAAATATGTGTTCAGATATACATATTTGATATTTATCTTGAAATTGAACTCATAGAACAGTAAACTTGAATTGTTTAGATTTCCCCAATCTAGCGCCATATGGATATTTTGGCAAAATCCCATAAGTTCAGTCACCATACTGTACTCAGTGGCTTAGATGATTAGAAATATAGTGCAATACATCTGGAAGACATTAAATTGGAAAAGGATTATCAGAAAACAGCTCAGCAGCTGGCTAACCTTGTTGAAAGCTAAGGAGGACTATACTTGATTAATACTGGGATGGGAGGCCTATAGGGAATATAGGGCTGTACGCTAAGTTGGAAAGTTGAAAAAATATTGAAAGAGACAGTGGCAGACCACTTCTGTATTTTTGCCCAAAACATGGGCATGTTCATGAAGTCACCCAAAGTCTAGCTAGACTTGGAGGAGGCTAATCTTCACTTTAAAAAAAATGTTGACATTTATCCCATTGTTTTTAGTAGTGGAATTTAGTTACAAAACAAAAAGGGACATAACAGACATACCAAGGTGAAAGAAATAAAGGGGCATAAGTTGAAAATTGATTTGTTTTATTTATAACTGAAGCTATTTAAAAAGTTGGCAAAGTATACATATAATTGTTTTTAAACCTTGTCTCTTGACAAGTAATCAGTTTGATCCTCTCTCTACTTAGCAGCCTTGTTTACCACTGCCAGAATACAGTATGTTGCTGATTATTCCATGAGAATTGTTTTCGTCAATGCTGAGCCCTCCATTCTCATGACGTATGATGCCTCTCAGTGCTTGCATTCCATATGGGCCCTTCGAAGAGTAAAAGCAGAGGTAAAAAAAATTTAAGGGTGAAGTGAGCATGGTGTAGAAAACAAAGATGATAATTAATGGCTTGCCTATTTTGTGAGTGGATGTTGTTTGTAGTTTGCTACACTGTACAGTCACCCGAATGGACAGAGGTCAGCTACTTAGTGGCCTCCTAAGGTTTTAGATTATAACTCTCATAATGAATGACCATTGGCTGGATTACTGGAAATTTATGGAAGTGATACTTAGAACATCTGAAAGTTCACTTTTTAAAATTCCTGTCTTAAAATGTGATGTTATGCATATGATTATTTGAATCACATAAAACATTTTTATCTGTAGGAGCAAAGTGCAGTCTTGAAGGTCCCTGAGCAGGCATGGACCCCACAGCATGCAGCTGCCAGCAGTTCCTTCACTGTCCATCTTAAGAATCTGTCTAAGGGTGACTCGCCTATGGCTTCTCCATTCCAGAACTATTCCTCTATTTGTAGCCAAAGCAGGTCGGCATCATCTCCCAGCATCCATTCCCGTTCACCTTCCATTTCCAACATGGCAGCTTTGAGGTAGGTTGCTTACTTTTCTTGCCCTTGTACTTTCTTTTATTTCAGGATTTTAATTATAAACAGAGATCAGGCATGCTGCTGAGATCTACATTTCCTTTATTTATGACTATTTTGTAAACAATGAAACTAAGTGAGATTTCAAAAATTTTGAGGTTCAGGATTTCCTGCTGTAGTCATAAATACTTGATTTCTTAATTTCTCCTTCTCAGTTTTTGAGTAACCCTGAATAATTTCAGTGTCACCGTTATATTTACATATTGCCATAAATTCATATAGTATTTTATTTCATGAACAAAGACAAATATGCATGTCCCAGGATAATATTGCAGGATCCAATCTGGGTCGGTCACTGGGACCAGAGGTTTAGTCATGTCACATTCTGGTGAGAAAGAAGTTCCATGAGGATGGGCTCCAGCACGAGTCCAAAAGCTCGGAAGATTAAACTTCTGGTCCCATGACCGATCCAGATTGGATCCCACAGTATTTTATTTCATTTAGTTTATTGGGATATATGAATCCTTGGTCCATAGTAGTAGTTAACATGAGGTATGGTACTGGCTACTAATTTGGTTGGCTTCAGAATTGGACTGGACCAATTTATTAAAGTCATGGGGATTTGGCAGTGTTCCTGCCTCTCCATTGGTTGAGAGACTAGTGGTTCCCTTGTGTAGTTGGTTGACCAGTGTGAGAACAGACTGCTGGACTAGGTAGGACAGGGTTCCAATACAGGAGGGCATTGCTTATGTTCTTATGCTATGTTTAGTTTGTAGTGCTTGAAATCCTAAGATGTAAGAATTTGGGCCTGTAGTGGGAAGGGAAGTTAGCTGCTGTACGTGTATTCTCAGAGAAAATAAATATATTTCTTTGTCTTTGCAGCCGATCTCATTCCCCAGCCTTAGGGGTACATTCTTTCTCAGGAGTACAGAGATTCAACTTCTCCAGTCATGTTCAGTCACCTAGGAGGCACAGTGTCTGCCATTCTCCAAACAGTGCTACTGAGTCATTTCTTGCCCCAGAAACTGAACTCATTGTTCCAGAGCTTTGCATAGAGCATCTATGGACAGAAGCCTTCACTACCCTGAGGTTTGGAAGAATCTATTCCATCTAAAAGAAGTCTTTACACAATCCTGACTTCCTCAAACTAAATGATTTAACTTTCAGAGAAGAATACTTTTATGTGGCCATATTTTTGCATCTAATGATAAGCCAAGCATTTGGGGGAACAACAACCTCTGACTTGAAACTCTCTTGCAACCATGAATGCATTAAACCACTATCTCTGTTTTCTTTGGCTAATATGTTTATTTTCTTGTATAAATGACAGGACAATATTGAGTTCATACGAGTGAACTTTTACATTGTGATTTAATAAGCCACGGTCATAAGCTTATTGTGAAGTAAAATACAGTTATTGCACTGAAACAGTGAAGAGCATTAATAGTGTTTCCCCCCAAAACTTAGAGCAGGGGTAATCAAACTCGCGGTGTCACGTGATGTATCATGACTTTCCTCCTTCGCTAAACTGGGGAGTAGGCGTGGCATCTGGCCCTTGGGGCGTGAGTTTGACACCCCTGGCTTAGAGAGTGCTGTAAAGCATTATGAAGCAATATATGAATCTAAATGCTATTGCTAATTTGTAATTAACTGGGTGAATTTGCTCAGAAGTTTCATTTTAGAGCTAAAGTGAATATGCTCTACCATTCAGTTATGCCAAACTATACTTAACAACTCATGGCTTATAACCTATGTATAATTCACATTTCTGATTATCTTAGTCACAACCTAAATCCACAGTATAGCTACCCATCAGTCTGATTGAACTCTGTGATTTTCTTCTGAGTTCATATATACAAATATATATTTAGCATTTAGACTGATGGGACGAATACTTAATTTTTTTACTTGAAGAAGTCTATATTTATTATTTTTTGCTTATAAATATTTATAGAGAGAAGAATTGTCAAGCCTCCAAAGTATTTATTACAACTGATTTTTGTGGGCAAAAGTTTTTGTGCTACTTAGTGGAATCCCAGCTCCAATTGCGGTAAGTATGTTTTGATATTTATTATTTTTATTTATTGTATACATTTAAAGATACAGTTTAGTTTTCCAAATGCATAGGAAATGCATATTGTTTGGATTTTTTTCACATTTCATTTATTAACCAGCTCAAGGTTGACTCAGCCTTCACTGTTGGGCTCCGTTAGGGATGATAGATGATCTGAGCCCGTCAACACATTTGCAGGAGCTGTCGCACCCTGCCTAGTAATTGCGACAGCTGCAGTGTCAGAGACTCGTGACCTGCGAGGGGATCCTCAGTCGTCTGTAACTTGAAAGGAAAGTCCTGTCTGTGTTTGATGGATTGTTGGACTTAATTTGATGATTCTGCCAAAGCCCGTGCGGCTGTTGAATCAACTGTGATGAAGGAACAGGCGATGGGAGGGGGAGTTTAACTATTTAGTTTACTCATGAGGAGATAGGAATCATGAGCGATGGATAGGTGATAGGGAAGGAAATAGTGGACTTATTAGGTAAACCGGATGATGGGAATAAGGGGTGATGAAGGGAATGATTAGGGGCGTGGATAGGAGATAGAAGCCTTTAGGTGGGTGTGTTTATACCTTTAAATAACACTGTAAGGCAGAAGCTTCCAGTGCTAACCTAGACCGGTTGGGATACCGTTCTTGTCGGATGGAAAATTTGTTGTTTGACATTAAAAACCTTTGAAACCTGCTTTCTGCTCTGCATGGTGGTTTGTGGTTTGTGTGCAAATCTGCAAGTTTTCAAAGATCAGCTGAGACTTCCATCCTTCCAAGGTTGGTAAAATGAGAACCCAGATTGTTGGGAGCAACATAAGCTGATTCTGTAAACTGCTTAGAGGGTGCTGTAAGGCACTACAAAGCAATATATAAATCTAAGTGCTATTGCTAATTGGTAATTGTCTGGGTGAATCTGCTCAGAAGTTTCATTTTTGGAGCTAAAGTGAATACCCTATGCCCATGATGGCGAACCTATGGCACGTGTGCCACAGGTGGCATGCAGAGCCATTTGTGTCGGCACGCGAGCTGCAGGCCAACTTACCTCACAGCATGCGCATGCGTAGGGGACATGGGGGTGCACGCATTGCCTTCTGGGTGCTGGCATGTGAGCATGCAAGCGCACACACAATTTTTGGCACAGGAGCCCCAAAAGGTTAGCCACCACTGCTCTACCATTCACTTATGCCAAACTATACTTAACAACTCATGGGTATGAGTTATATGTACCTATGTATAAATCACATTTCTGATTATCTTAGTCATAATAACAAAGCATAACCTGCCAATTGTGACATTTGCTCCAAATCAAATGAAAACTTTTTTTTTTTGTCAAGGCTAAAGGCTTGAGTCTCTAGTCTAGGTCAAATATTTATGCATATTGTATTGTATTTCATTGATAGACATTTTGTTCCTATCATGTTACAGTCATTTTTATGCAAGATTGCTCTGTTTCCCCCCAACTCCACTTTTAGGTGTGTAAAGTTTCAGCAGAGTAATGACAAGTCACAGTTGATCTTTGGTGCCATTACCAACATCCAGGCAAAGGATGCAGCTGCAGTTGATGTAAGTATGAGTATGTGAATTACATGTAAGTTGTATTAATTGACAGCATTTACCCAGATAATTGAAGATTAATGTATTCTCTTCATTTGATGGATTTACAGAACGTTGATACAATGCTGGTTCTGGAAGGCAATGGAAACTTAGTGCTCTATACTGGAGTGGTTCGAGTATGTACATTATTTTTCTTCATTAATAGCTTATGTATGTTTTATTCATAGTCTCTTTTGTAACATTTCTCTCCTTTTTTCCATCTTATGCAAGCCCTTTCTATTCTGTTTATGTGCCCTCTCTTTTCTGTAGTGTTTCCCCTATGTGTAATAGCATCTCTGTTCTTCTTTCCATATCCCTTTCATTGTATCGTTTGTGAAACTTGTTTTCTTCAGATGTGTGCTATTGTATTCAGTTGCCTCTATTTTAATGAGCAATAGGGTCAGACATGTGATAGTCATGTCTGTTTCTTCCTCTTTCCTACTCCCACTTGTTTTTGAAAACAAGAATATAACAAATGAAAGCTGCAATGAACAATAAAAAAGGGAGTGCCTTTTAATTTTTCCACTTTGGGAGAGCTTTTTTCCCCCTTTTATAGTAGAAATCATATCGCTCAGGGAAACAACACAAAAAGGGCAATTTCCAACAGACAATACTCCAGAAGAAAGAAAAAAAATTAAAATAGGGGAACAAGAAATTTAAAAGCTGCTCATTAAATCAACTGCTGATAAGGGAAAACAACATTTACTTGAAGGAACTAGATCCCCTGTTATACTGTAGAGAATATCTCTTTCTTTCAACTTAATAATGAAAGGAATAAACAAAAGTTTTGTAAGATTTTAAAACATACATTATAAACATATACTCTTGCATAGTCTTAGAAAGAAAGGAGACAGATTTGGGGCATTATTTATTTATTTTGGTACATCTTGGATGTGCAAACATTGCCAGTTCTTTGAGTAGACACTAATAGGTTAAGTAGTAGTTAAGGTAAAATCTAAGGTGGCTGCATATTGTCAGGATTCATTCAGACTTGAACTAGAAGATCTGCATCTAGAGATTCAAGAATGCAGCTTGATTAAATACTTTTATTGTAGATATTAGAAAACTCTTAATAACAACGTTCTTAAAATTTAAGCTCTATATACAGGTTATTTCTTTCACCCTTACCATGTAATGAATGATAATTGTTAATTTCTCATTGGGAGAAGTGATTGGCACCTGTATATGTTAAACCAGAAATCTTCAGATTTTGCTTGTTTTTGTTCTCGCACATGAGACATTATTATCCAATTCTACATTGGACATTTTTCAATGCTCAGTTTACCACAATAGTCATTAAGTATAGCTCTTGTTCCAGCATTCTAGATCAGTGTTCTTCAAATCTGACAACTTTAAGATGTTGGGCTGTTCAATTGTTCTAAAAAGAATTACTTAGGCTTAATGTCTTAAGAATATTTTACCTTTAAAAGCTACCTATATTGAAACAACTGTCTGCTTTGTTTCCTATTAAAAGGTAGGAAAAGTATTTATACCTGGTTTACCAGTGCCGTCAATGACAATGTCAAATCAAATGCCTCGCCCAAGCACTCCTCTGGATAGTATCAGCACTCCTTCCAAGCCTTTGAACAAACTCCTTGGTCCCTTAGATGAGGTAAGGAATAATGGTAATTCTTTAAATGGCAAGGCTTGCATTGCTTATTTTTCCACATTTCTCTATATTAATATTAAAGCAGCAGTTCAGAAATTTTGCCTTACTGAGTGGTCTTTTTTCCCCATAGGGTAGCTTTGTATCGGCAGTACTCAGACTTATTTGTACATACAGTAGATGCCAAATCACCTCTTCCAATTTGTCAGTACCCAAGATTGTAATTAATGTATACAAGTTATACATTATGTGATGTATAAGCAAGAAGTGTCATTTTATTACCTCCAACTTTGCCTCCAATGTCCCAGTTACCTTCGGCTGGAGAAAAAACTCTACCAAGAACAGTCTTTAAGTGGAAGGAATTCAGTCCGAAAACAAAATACATACAAACTGTAAATAAAAATCCACACAAACCATGCTGCAGTAATTAACTCAACAGGGCAGGAGAAGGAATTGCAGACTTGAAAGGCCAGCAAAACACACACAGTTGGGAAGATGCCAGGAATCCAGATAAGCCTCGATGATACCAGATAATTCACAATTTGCTCCCAACAACTTTGCTATGCGCAGCTTCCCTTTTTAAACACTGTATTCCCAGCTGCAGCTAATGAAGGGAATCAGGGCCCTTTCCTCCCTGAGTGCCTTAGGATGAAGAGGGGGTGGGCCTGGGTCTTCCTCCGAATTCCCTCTCCCTTTCTCTACCTCTCCCGTGCTGTGCCCAGCCGGCCTTTGCCCTTCCCCAGTTTCTTCCCCAGCCAACGGAGCCACACTTCTACTCCCTATCAGCTGCTCGGCCTCTCCCTTTGAATCAAATTCCGACAAGGACATGACACACTGGTTTATACTGAGGATTGTACATAATCTTTTATTACAAAGTCCAAAAATGGTAAATTTAGGCCTGATTACAGGTTAAGAAAACTACATGGAAGTCATCAGAAGCCAAACTCAACTAGGTCTTCAGGCAATGTGTTGGTGGACTGCTGTTCCCATTGCTACTCACCATTGAAGTTCAGAATGTTCACTGGAGCTATATGTTAACTCATGTTTGATTCAAATAGCAGTCAGAGTTGCTAATTTAAGAGAAGGCTGAACTACATCATCTCAGATTTTTTCCAACTATGATTTCCTGTAATGGTTTTTATAACTGCAAAATGTTTTCTCCTTTTATAGCAAGGTGTGCTGTCCCCTGTTCCAGAGTTGAGGGATTCCTCCAAACTTCAAGACTCCTCTTATATTGATGATTATACTTTTCAGCAACTTTCAACTTTTATTCATTCTGTAAGAGATCCTGTTCAGAACAGAGTGACTCTGGTAAAGCCTAAAATTGCTTTAATATACACATAACGTTATATACACATAGCATATATCTACTGTGATCAGGGGTGGGATTCTACCGGTTCTGTCCACTTCTGTAGAACCGGTTGCTCTGACGAGCAGCAAACAGAGAGCATACATAGAACCGGTTCTAGGTTTGCTGCTGTTTTGGCCCGCCCGCCCAGGCTCTTATCTGACCTTTATTTCCTGCTTTTTCAACCGCAGCTGCTTTGCGCGACACAAGGGCTTTTCCAACCGCTGTGCACTTGCACACAGCGCTGCTCAACTATCTGGGCAGCTCAGCAGGTCGTAAATGCATGCGTGCATAACGCAGAGCAACAGAACCGGTAGTTATGCCGGTCGGATCCCATCCCTGACTGTGATTATCTGAAACAGAAAGATCAGAACATTTGAAAGTATTGGTCCAAGGAAACCTGTCTGTTTCCTTGTCATGTTAGTATTTAGGTACTTAGGCAAGTTTCTTTTACTGTATTTAACTACATTTTACAACATGGTATAATGTAGTGAGTGATTTACTGCTATAGGATTGATTGATTTTTAATCCCACTAGTTATAAAAGTATCCTACAATTAATATCTGTATCATTACATTTTATAAAGAGATGGCTCTTTGTGCTTTAGTTAGTTTGCTTGACATATTAACTGTCTTGAACAATTAAAATGGAGGATGACAATCCTTTCAAACTAAAACCCCACACAATGTGGTGACAACAGCTTTCTTTTGGGATACCTTAAAGCTGCTGTAGCTTATATAATAATATATATTGCAGATGCTGAATGCATTCCTTGTGGGATGATGTAATCTATCTTTCTTCTTTTAGGAATTTAATAATGGCTCAATGGTTAGAATCACCATTCCTGAAATTGCAAGTTCAGAATTGGGTATGATGTTAATTCTATACTCTCCTTTTTTTTTTTATTAAAAACTGCTGTGGAATCGAGCAAATTAAAAGCAAGCCATCATTAGAACAGCTGTGGAATCTGAATCAGTTCATTTCTCTGTCTAAGTTCAGAACAAAACAAAAACAGCTAATGTTAGATATGCTATTGTTAATCTCATCTCATTTCATTGGAAACCTGTCACATTCTTCCACATGCAATGTGAAACTTAATTATCTTGATTTTACTGAAATAAGCAAGCTGCTCTTTTGCTGAAATAATTGTATTGGCCTCAAATATGCCAAGTGAAGCGTAGAGCAAGTCTTTGGCTTACAAATAATAGGTTCTGGATTACTGACTTACTAACATTCTTTTTTTTGTGTTCTTTCTGCCTTACCATAAATAGTCAGAACATGTTTACAAGGCATTAAGAGTATCTTGCCCAAAGAGATTGCTGTCCAAATACTTGTCAGATGGTATAATGCCTACAATGCACCTGGAGGGCCAAGCTACTATTCAGAATGGACCTTATTTGTGACCTGTCTGTTGAACATGATGGGTTATAACACAGAGAGAGTGGCATGGACACGCAATGTAAGTAAACTTGCAATCTTATAAATGATAGTAGCTGCCTTGAAAATGTGATCTTATCTTTACTATAGGTGTTTAAACAAAGACCGAATGACTATTTATCTATAATGCTTTAGTAGTGGATTCTTAGTAGCGGGCTGATCTCTAAGTTCCTTTCTAATCCTTCCATTCTGTGATTCTTGACTTTGAGTCACCTGCTAAGAAAAGTAATTCTCAATAAGTGCTTATTATTTTCAGATACCCTCAGTAAAATAGTACTTGCCTTGCTAATATTAATAAAAGAGATTATTGAAATAATGTTGCACTCTTCTTCTCGTTTCATCTTTTCCCCATGTTTTACTTTCAAGTCCTATATTTTACAGAAATATTCTAGTGCTTTTTATTTGACTGAATACACAGTATTATTTGGTATTACATGGATCTTATGTATTATTTGGTATTACATGGATCTTATGTATATTGGACACATATTAATTTTTATTACAGGAACATTTGCTCATAATGATTTTTTGTGCATGAATAGAAGTAATCAATAAATCTCTAGCGTTACTATTCATTATTTTGAATTTAATGTAAGTGTAACATTGAAATATGAATTCTCTATGTTTTACAATTTACAAATATTTTTCTTGTGAGTGAAACATAAGAAGATGTTTTTTATAAACAACACCAGCAACAGTCTACAACTTGATGTGAGCTTGCTGTTTTTGTCAGAGGTCAGATCTCATCTGCAATCTCCCAGTGGCTATTCCTTAAATACATTAGCATGTTAATCTTATTAGAAATTCTTCTCTTACTGTCCTAACCATTCACACTAAATTTGTGTTACAGTACCAAAAAATGATACATGAAAACAATTCATAAACTTCCTTTTTTTTACATGAATAATTGTGTGTCCATTTTTGCTGCATCCTTTGTGGTCAAGGACAATGTACCCTGTTTCTCCAACAATACGGCCTCCCCCAATAGGAAGTCCCAGCATGTTTTATAGGCATGAAATGAAATTAAGCCCCTCCCCCCAAATTAAGGCGTATATTAAAACATGCGAAATGGGGGGGAATGGTGGGGGGGCTTGCCATTAGGAAGTACTTTTGTTGCACACCTGGATATGGTGCTGCCTGCGTTGACCCCAATACGAAGTGCCCCACCAACGCCGAGGTCAACATCCAAGCCGTCGCCGCCCACCCACCCAAAGATGCAAGGGGGGGGAATTAAGTCACCCCCGAAAAGACGCCCTAGCCATTTTTTCAGGGCTCAAAAAAAAATAAGACCCGGCCTTATTATATGAGAAACACAGTAGTAAATTGTTATCTGGAGGCAATTCACCAACCAGTTAAGATGTTTACATCTGATTGCTTCTCCTTAGCTCATTGGGTCCAGCTTTTTTATTTCAAAGTTGGGGGTGTTTAGTTTTCAAACAGAGTTGCAATCATCAATTGATGTATTGAATCCTTGCATCCATAATTTGTGGACTAGGAAATACAGTAATATATTCATTCTTTGAAATTAGTTGTAGTAGAACACATGTAAAGGAATAATGGCAAATTGTATGTGGAACTTTTGAATTTCATCACAAATGGCTCCAAATATTCCTGTGATATCCTGAATTTCTGTGTGATTGTTTCTTTCTGTTCACTTTAGTTTGATTTTGAAGGATCTCTTTCGCCAGTCATTGCTCCCAAAAAAGCTCGGCCTTCAGAGACAGGATCAGATGAAGTAAGAGAAGAATTATTTAGTTAATCATTCCAGACAGGTTAAAAATGTCTGAATTCATATTATTCAGGAATTTGTTTAATGGATCATATATATGCACAGCAAAAAGAGACTTGTTTTTGTCTGAAGGCTAATATAATTTGTTGATTAATGATTTAATGAGTAACAACTTTATTTTTAATCTTCAGAGAGGTTCCATCTGTTACTGAAGGAAATTGACATCATTTACGAATAGAGATGTGCAAAACAATTATTTTGAGTTTGAAATAAGCTATGCTGACCTTGAGACCAGTTTGGTACAGTGGTTAAAGGTGCCATGTTAGAAACTGAGAGATAATGAGTTCTAGTCCTGCCTTTGGCATAAAGCCAGCTGGATGGCTAATCTAGTCACTCTGAGCACGAAGAACTGCATGGACTGCCAGGCAATTGCCAGGAATCAGGACTGACTTGAAGGCATACGTATGCATGTACAAACCCTCCCCCACACACCTTATAGGAAGTTTTCTAACACTTTTTCAATTAACACACAAATGTTCTCATGTTGTTCTGACCTTACTGAAAAATGGTACAAGCTTTAAATAAATAACTGTTTTGAACTACTGTAGGAATGCTTACAGTAAAATCAGATGAGTTATTCAAAACAGTAAATAGTATGCATATCTCTAATTATCAATGTATGTATGTACGTAACGTACCAAATCAGGCCATAGTCTACCTAGCCAAGCAGGTTTTACTCTGACTAAGTTCCCTTATAGTGGGGAGCTCTATCAAATATTAGGGAGTCCTTGCAAAAATCTATTTGAAATCCAGGCATTTCAGGAGAAATGTTTTATTTTGATTCATTGATCAAATTTATACAGCCCCCCTCACATCATAAGTGTTTGAAGTTAAATGAATGACCATTACAGGGATATGGTTCCCCACCATCTTGCAGACACATAGGACCAGCTCCTCCATCTCCGCCATTTGAGTCAATAAGTGTAATGTTACGTGAGAGTGACTTTGCGAGATGAGAGGAAGAGATGCTGCCTAGGAAATGATCAGACTCGAAAGGTGGGAACCCCCAGTGGCTTAAGGCTCAGAAGAAGAAAGTTAAGAAGGAGCCATCTTGATTGATCAGGCAGTTAAAAGTGGCAGTGGGAGTAATTGATTACTGCAATGCACTCTACATGAGCTGCCCTTGAAGACCATCTGAAAGTCTCAACTGGTCCAGAATGCGGCAGTGCAGGCAGTGATGGAAATGTCGGAGTCTGCCCAGGTAACACCTATGCTTTATGAACTGATGCCAGTTTGTTTTTGGGTGTGATTCAAGGTGCTGGTTGCTACCTATAAAGCCCTATATGGCATAAGGCCTAGTTACCTGAAGGATCACTTGTCTCCCATAGTGTGTGCCCAGCCGGTTTCATTTGGCAAGGTTGGTGTACTTTGGGTTCCATTGATTAAAGGATGCCACCTATCAGGACCGTGGAAAAGTATCTTCTCTGTAGTAATACCTGATGTTTAGAAGAGTTTTCTCCCAGAGATGTATATGGTCCCCACCTTATTGGTATTTTGAAGGCCCTGAATGTGTAGTTCTTTGCCCAGGCCTTTGACGAGGATAATTGACACGCCTTTTCTTCCTTTTCTGTGTTATTTATTTATTTATTATTCAACTTATATACTGTACCCCCATCTCACCTTATTAAAACCAATAAAAACATTGAAACAGTATATAATAACATTAAATTAATTTAAAAATAACAAGATGGGATGAAGGGAGTAAGATGCACATGAGGGCAGGTGGGATCTTAATTTAGTCCATTAACCACCTCCAGAACATTGCATCCCTATTGGGATCTCAGGCCAAGTTGGCAGAGCCAGGTCCTCAGGCCTTTTTGGAATGTCAAAAGGGTGGATGCAGATCTCACTTGGGGGGGGGGGGGGGCACAATGTTTCCAAAGGCAGAAGCCTTGGCAGAAAAGGCTCTTTTCCTGGACCCCATCAGCTGGAATTCCTTGACTTTACTGTGTCTACAGTATGGCCTTTCTGCAGGCATGAGTGGGATGGGCAAATTCCGTCATGGTGAGACAGTTCCTCAGGTAAGTTGGACTCATGCTGTGATAACCAACACCTTGAATTGGACCTAGAAATAAACCGGCAATCAGAGTAGTTTGTGGAACAGCAATGTAACATAGGCTGCCTTAGGAATCCCAAGAACTGTCCTTGTGGCTGCATTCTGTGGCAGCTGTAGCTTCCAGATATTCTTCAAAGGTAGCCCCATGTAGAGTGCATTGCACTAGTCCAAGCAGGAGATGCCAGTGTTCCCTTCTGAATTTATTTTCTCTGCCATCTCTGTTCTTTCCTGTTGTTCTTATGTTTTTGTATTTGTTTTTGTTCCTCCTTTTAAATGTTTTTAACAATTTATTAACCACCCAATATTGCTGGAGGTCAGACAGCATATAAATTAAAAAAAATTATTGTAATTATTATTCCCAATGAAGTACCATGCTGCAGGATACTAATTATATTTATTTATCTATTAAATTTATATGCTGCCCATGTCACTTATAAGTTATTCTAGGCAGCTTACAACCAAATAAAAGCAATAAGATCAAACGTTAAAATATCCATATAATAAATATTAGCTAAATATATTTAAGATGCCTCAACTTTTTAGGATTCCAGCATTTGATACTAATATGTACATTTTAAACATTACCTTTGCTATTTCTGACTTCAGTTGTTATTGTGTCAAAATGCTAACAAACATAACAATCCAGTATGAAGTACTCTATTACTTGTTATTTTTGTTTTACCAGGACTGGGAATATTTACTAAACTCAGACTACCATAAAAATATTGAGTCTCACCCTTTGGCTAAAGCTCTGCGACTGGATCCATTGGGAGCCAAATTCCCTAAGGATAATCCTTCACACAACCACTGCTTGGATTCCACCACTATTCTCTTCCCCCACATCCCTGTAATCTTCTGTGTGCTGCATTTAATCTATGAGGAACTCAAGCTGAACTGCTTGATGAGTGAAGGAATTCGTTCTCTTGTTGTCCTTCTGGTACAACTAGCAAGGTGCGATCTCCTTGAAAAAAATTTGGGCTAGTTGTATTCTTTGGCAACAATTAAGTCAGCTTGGAAATAAACATGTAAACAGGTATAACTTACCCAGAGTTTTACCTGCTACATTTCAATCAGCAGAGTAAATATAAGAGCTTCAGAGAGAAAGGAGATAAGTCTTCTTTTGCTGGGTTCATTTTTGTTTGCCTCTTCATTGTTGAGAACTTCAACAAACATTTTTTTCCAAATGCTTCCTCCAGTGAAACAATTTCCCTCTACAAAAGAAAAAGCTATGTCAGCAATGTCCTAGAGAACCTCATCTGATGCTTTCATTATGGTCTGTCTGGCACCAAAAATATTTTTGTTTACCCCCAAATTTAAAAAAAACACAGTTTAGAATAATTGTTTTGTTCCAGTTTTACTGTATTTTTTGCTGCTGTGTATTGTTTTATTACTGTTGTAATCACTACTTTTGTTTTGATCTATATAATGCTGGCATTTTTATTGTAAACCACAGTTTATATGTTGCATGTTTTTAACAAATAGGTACCCTAACAAGGGAAGTATCAGATAAATTAGAAATATAATAAATAAGTAAATACATGTCTTATATTTTTTGTATTCATCATTCAATTTTTATATTCTTTTAGGGATTTAAAACTGGAAGCGTATCTTGATTATTATTACAGAGATTATCCCATGCTTGTCAAGGATTCTAAGCAAACTTGCATAATTGATCCCAGTAAGTATCCAGAAAATAATTAGAATTCTTGACAGAAGATAGTGTGCATTATTAATAATTTTAATAAAAATATTTGATTCCCCCCCCCCCCATGTTTATCATAGAGGTATTAAAGTAATCAAATCTCAGCTGATGTGAGCTTTCTTCCTGACATTTGTGGGAAATCTAGTAACAATGTTTTAGTTTAGTGTGAAGTTGAACAAGAAATATATAATGTTTTATGGTTATTATAACCCATCATAAACAATTATTATATTTCTTCTAAACATATACACACACATAACAGGTTTTTTCTTCTGCTTAAAAATAGCTGCTGCTCTCAGAATGTTTATTTCAAACCTGAATTTTTGGAAATGAAGAGAATCCTGAGGAGTTTTTTGGGGGGTCGATACTGTTTTGCCTTCTGAGTAAATGGGAGAAAGTTCAGTCTTTTTAACCTCTGTCAGTAAAATAACCCATCTTACCACAGATGATATAAGTTTTATTATAATTTAAGAATGTGCCCATGCTGTGTATGATAGGTGTCGCCCAAGAAAAAGAAACAGAATGTCATTATTATGTTCAGAAACAATTGACTTTTTTTCATTCAAGAAAGACTTAGGTATCACCAATGTCAATTGATATCAGTGCTTTTCAAAGTTGGCATCTTTGTGTGAACTTCAACTCCCAGAATAGAGTCGGTACATTTTAACTCCCATGATGGCTGGGGAATTCTGGGAGTTGAAGTTCAGACATCTTAAAGTTGCCTCCTTTGATAAATGCTGGGTTTATATATAGAAAGTCTAATGCCCAGAAAAAGTAGCTTCATTCTCTATTTTTACAGGCAGTAAGGCAGCTTTGATATAATCTTTAAAATGGTACATGAATGACTCCTGTTCTGTATGTTTAAGCCCAAACAGGCTTTATGCAACATCCTTCCTTTTTTTCGGCTGAGCCACCAAGTATCTTTCAATGGCTGTGCTCTTGCTTAAAGGGAGAAAGTGTGCCACCCTATCCTTATTTGCCTGGAATTTGTGAAAGGAGCAAGCTGGTAGTGTTGGTATGTATTAAACTAACAATCTAGAGAAGTGTTATGATACATTGAGTATGAATTCAAATGATTAAGAAATGAAAAAAAGTTTTCAGCTGCAGGCCACCTAGAATTTTCTGGATACGAGAAAAAAACAGATTTAAGGAAGGGAGGAAAACTGGCTGAATTCACAGAGAATTGATTTGTTAGGAACTAATTACTCAACAATCAATTGCTGTTAGGCTGTAATTCTGCTTCAAATAATGGAGTAAATATATTTGTTTGTATAAACTACTCAGATATGTTTGACTACAGACAGCTACTCAGCATGTGCTTTCAGATTATACGTTTATGCACAAAATTATTGTGATATCAGTGAACTGTTGGAGGCTTTTTTAAAAGAAAAATGTAGGCAGGTGCCACTTATATTAGTTTGTTTCTGCCAGAAAATACCTTGGGTATTACTTAATATAGAAAAGGACATATTCTTCCTCCCTATTTAACTCTGGATTCTTTCTACACAAAGATTTATTACAATTGAACAGATTCAGAATAGAATAGAATAGAATAGAATAGAATAGAATAGAATAGAATTCTTTATTGGCTAAGTGTGATTGGACACACAAGGAATTTGTCTTGGTGCATATGCTCTCAGTGTACATAAAAGAAAATATACATCCATCAAGAGTCAAGAATCATCAGGTACAACACTTAATAGTAGTCATAGGGTACATTAAGCAATCAAATCATACTAGGAAACAGTATAATGTACCTTTAAATAGTTTTTTTTTTCTATTCTTTGAGAGAGAAATACATATTGGGATTTGGAATTTCAATTTGTATTTTATTTATTAAATTTTGATGCCTAATATAGAAATGCACCTGTTTTCCTTAACAAAACAAACAAAAAAGTTGTACGTATATTTATTTGAAGTAGGATTTTGAGTAGTAACATTACATCAGTTGTGCTGAAGCCAAAATTCTGGAAGCATAATTTAGGTATTAGCATGGATACCCTTCCTAAATTATAGCACTATTATGTGAGCTGTGAAGTTGATGCCATGGCAACAGGATGCGACTCCCCAACAGTGTGTCTCCTGCCTTTGGCAACATTTGTTTTACGTACAGATTTCATATAATACTCTTGGCACTACCAGCTGAAATGATCTGAAGATGCAGAATTAGAAAGACTCTAAGGTCCTGAATGGTTACTGCTTATAAATAATATTGATTTTAATAGATTAATAGTCTGAATCTAAATAATGCTGCTTCATATCTTCGTGTAAATTTGCCACTGAGTCTGGCTAATTTGGCCTTGAATATAGAAGTGCATCCTCATGTATATTTAGTAAAGATGTCCAGATTCTTTTAAGCTCAACTATTGGCTCATCTCTTTTCCTGCTAAGATGAATTTTGCTGACTCTTATGTAATGCAGCATTACTTTCTCCCGAGCAGAGCGTTGTATTGTATATACTTGGTGATGAAAGTGCTGTTTCAAATGAAGCCTCCAACTATTTGTCCAGGATAACTTCAGGTAATACAATTTCAGAGCTACACAGTTTCTGAAATGGATGTTTTTGCTTATTACGGTTGCAACACCCCTTGCTATAAAAAGACAGGAGTGCTTGCGTTTCCATGGCTTCTCCTTTTCTCTTTTAGCACAGCGAAAGCAGCAGACTGAACAGGAAGAATCTAGGTATGTTATTTGGTGGAGGAAAGAGTGTTGCCATTTGTTAGCTCTCATGAATAACATAAGAATGTAGCTCTAAGGATATTTAAGGGGCTCCCTTGTATTTTTGCACCCTTTCCTTCACTATTTTTGTATGCTGTACTTCTTTTCCCTGCAAGGCTGCAAAATGAAGGAGTTAGGGTGAACAGAAAGACTGAGACTCACGTATACTGCTAAGAAGAGGGATCTTGCCCTTATTTTTCTAGATTGGCTTGCAGGACTCCATCCCTGTGGAAGTTCCCCCTCCCCTTTCAGGCAATTTTAAATAAAAGTGTTGGGACTCAAGGTTTCTTGAAATCGTGTATTCTGACATGTAGTTACAGCCCTTCTTATCAGCTATCTATTATATAACAGTAGCAAAGCTAGAAGAAATCTGCCTTCTGCTCTCTTCAGCAGCACAGATTTCATAGTTATCAATGTCTATGGAGATTCATAGAGTAGTTGTAAGTGCTTGGAAATTTTTGTAAACATTTTCTCTTCAAGCATCCTGACTTGCCTTTCCCTTATTTCTCATTTGTAAATTTCTGGGAACTTTATTTATTCCAGACATGTTGTTTTATGACTTCAGTAATACCTGGCAAGAATACAGTAGAAGTAGGGAATTGAGGTCCTTTTGAAGGCGCAACATGTTGGGAGAGGGTGCAGCAGATATATCTTTGGGTGTCAAAAGAATCAGTTATATTTATTTCCTTGTTAGCACATGCAGTATGAAGAACAGTCCATCTGCTTCTAGTCTTGCAGAAAAACTAGTTGTCTGGATGGCAAATGCAGGTAAGGAGATCTTCTATTTTTCTGTTTTGTTTTGTTTTGTAAGAGAGTAAGGAGTTTGTACATCAAACCAAAGACATTTGAATAGGTTTGACATGCAATGTTAGACTTCCTAAATATATTTGGAGACTGGAAACTTCATTTTTAAATGGCTAATATATAAAGCTAGAAACAGGCAGTAGCTTTAGTGAACCAGTGGCAGTTTGAATGGTAGACTGCTGCTTGTAAAATAGCCTATTGTTGTCATAGACCAAAATAGAGTTTATAGTTTAGTTATTCCAATTTGGTACGGGACAATAATGGGATACAAGAAATATGCATGTCCAGCTTAAGAATAGCCTTTGCAGATCTGTTCTGTGGGAAATTTTCTCTCTTTGTTCCTGGGGCTTTAAATGGACTTATAGAATATTCTGTAAATATGAATTTACAGAATGTGAAATGATTCCCATTCTCTCTCTAAAAAGGATTCACTTTAAGAGACCTGGAGTCTTTGCCTTTTGGAGTTGCTCTTCCTATCAGAGACGCAATCTATCACTGTCGACAACAGCCTGCCTCTGATTGGCCGGAAGCAGTCTGCCTTCTGATTGGTCGTCAAGATCTTTCCAAACAGGCTCGTGAGGGAAACCTTCCAAAATGTAAAGCAGTAAGTACTTGAATTTCAAAAAAGCAAAACCAAGAAAATCATTTTCAAGTACCGCGTTCTATAATTTGATGATGTTGTTTAGAGGTTTTTTTGTCATTTAAATAAATCTTAAATTTTCCTGGAAAGAAGATCAAACAAATATTTGACTGTTCATCCTTGTAGTCAAAGATAGAGTCAAAGTGCATATCTCTAGAAAATAAGATGACCTTGATGGAGTAATGCAGGAGCTATTGCCTAGGCAAAAAGGGCTGTAGCTATTTTTAAGTTCAGAACAACCAGATAATATTGGGAAGCAACTGACAGATGTCTCCCTAATTCACTGAACAATAAGAATGAGGAGGTACATCGTGATCAAATTTGCAAGTTTCTGTTGTAATAGCTCATCTCAGTAAAAGTAGATGTAAGCTTTTTTGTGGAATTGATTCCTTGGTCATGTCCATCTAGTGGGAATGACACAATCTTTCTTTTCCACAGTCTGACCCGCAAATGTTGTCATCTGATATGCCTGCCACCGTGGAGTCAGAGGAGGAAGATGATGGGATGAATGATATGAACCAGGAAGTGATGTCACTGATATGGAGCGAAGACCTGAGAGTGCAAGAGGTGCGCAGGCTTCTACAAAGTGCCCATCCAGTTCGTGTGAATGTAGTTCAGATGCCAGAAGTCAGTGACCATGAATATATTGAAGAAAAAGAAAACCGGTAAAAAAAAATTTGCCCCTTAAATTTTCTATACTTTATACAAAGTACAAAGATCTGTATTTTGTTGCATTACAGAACATTATACTGGGAAGTACTGGTTCTCATACTTTTGCCAGAGTAAATCATCATCCTATCTAAGATACTGCATAAATGCCTCCACTATGGCAATTACAGCCCTTGCAGTGTTAGGTAGTTCTTCCCACTTTTTCCCTTGGCTGCTTAAGACAACAGAGTCCACTAATTGGCAAAAAAATAGACCTCTGTTTTTGCTGCCATTAATGGAAGGAAACTATGCAATCTTATCTTCTCAAATTGCCATCACTGACTGGCAATCTACATTTCCTCCCTGTTGCCAAAACAGAAACAGTGACATGCAATGAGAGCAGAATAATGGGGATACCCTAGGAAGCTCAGGCTCTCTGGGGTTTTTTTTTATGGCTTATATCCTTGCAGGGATATAAGAAAATGTGAAGAAAGAGATGGATGGTGGCTGAACCACTTCCACTACTACTCATGATAGCTTTTACATGGGGGGGGGGCATCTTGAGGGACAGAAAGCAGAGGGAGAAGGAACAGATAGCTTCCCAATCAGACTTGGGAGGACTGATCATAGGTGTTCCTTCCCTTGTTAATGTGTTGCCTATGCATGGGGTAAATCTTTATCCCAGGGAGATTTGGTTGTCTACATGATTTTGGCCACTGCCAAAGTTTGTCTGAGGAAGGAAATGGGTGAACTTGAGGTCACAGCATCTTTTAATGTACGAAGATAAAAAATACACTGAAGTGACACCAGTAGTGTTCACACAGCACAATGAATCCCAAATTAACCTGTTTTAGCCTAGCATGTTGTGGGATAATGTAACAGAGCATAATATAAACATGCTAAATGCAGTAGATTAAAACTCCACTAACTTTGTTGTCATTTGATGTTTTTAAGATATTTGACAAACTAAAAAAAATTACTCTTAAAATTTGGTCTTGAAAATGGGATTTTGAAATAAGCATCTTTCCATAATGTATCAGTGGTAGTCACTATTGAAAGCAGCAGTTGGTATCAATGAATAGAATTTGGAATATTTTCAGATATATAGAGGTAACCAATGAAGATGCTACTGAGCTTTTAGCAAATATTTGGAGAGTTATTCAAGGCCTTAATGTAAAAATGAAACATGAAACAGTTTCATAAAAATATAAACATATAGTCATGAAATTAGTATTTCCAGACTATATATATTTTTATGAAGCTTAGTACTGGATGCACCTCAGTTATAATTTGAATTAAGCCAATAACTTCTTTTACAGTTGTACTATATTCTCTTGTTATTCATTCATATTTGTTGAATTTTTAAAGAAATATATATGCTGCTTTTCCCATTTATAAAACAACTTTCCCAAAGCAGCTCACAAAATAGGCATTTTTAAATGGAAGAACTTTGGTTCCTATATACGTTGTGAAACATATTTATTGAGAGCCAGTTTGGTGTAGTGATTAAAGTATCAGGATGGAAACTGTGAGACTAATCCTGCCTTAGGCATGAAGCCCCCTGAGTGACTTTGGGCCAGTTACTCTCACATCCCAGGAAGCAGGTGATGACTAACCACTTCTGAAATTGTTTTGCCAAGAAAACTGCAGGGACTCATCAGAGAAGTTGCTAGGAGTCAACACTAACTTAAGAGCACAACCTCCCTCCCCCAGCCCTGCACCATAGTTATTAATTGGTCCTTAAAATATTTCCATTTGTTTTAAATATTGTTGCTTACACCCTCTTTTCTGTTACAGGCTTCTACAATTATGTCAAAGAACTATGGCTCTCCCTTTGGGAAGGGGGATGTTTACTTTGTTTTCTTACCACCCAGTTCCAACGGAGCCGTTGCCTATTCCCAAATTGAACCTGACAGGTATATTCAGCAGTGTGATGCATAGGTTTGATGCATGCTTGGGTTAAGACATGAAATTACTTATGCTAAAATTGTGTTTTATCAACAGTATTTTACCATGCTAGTTAGGGAATGATAATTGTAGCGTGATGCCTAAAATAGGCATTTTCCTATTAAAGGACACCCCAAATTCCAGCTTTGTTTACTTTGTAGTGCTAGCCTCCCTCCGCCTCCAGCCCCATGTTAAGTGCAGCCACTAGCTATCACACATTTGTCCATCCTAAGCCTTCAGTACATTTGGGGAAAGGGGTATTTATGAACCAGGATCTTTAGATGTTAAACTGATGAATGCATTGTGAGGGAGAGTGCCAGCCAAGACAGGTACAGCAACCACCACATCAATTGCTAAAACTATTTTGTTTACGTATGGTTTACTTGCTTTTGGGACCTGAGAGGTGTTTCATATCCTATAGCCGTGATGGCGAACCTATGACATGCGTGCCACAGGTGGCACGTAGAGCCATTTGTGCCGGCATGCGAGCTGCAGGCAAACTTACCTCACTGCGCATGTGCGCGACTTACAGCTGATTTTTGGCCGGTTTGAGGCCTTTTTCGGCCTCCCAAAGGCTTGAGGAAAGTTTCTGCAGGCTTTTTCAAGCTTTGTAGGCCGAAAACTAACCCCGTTTCGTCATTTCCAATATTTTCGGAAAAACAGGAAGTGACAAAACGGGGCTAGTTTTCTGCCTACAAAGCTTGCAGAAGCCTGCAGAAGCCTTCCTCAAGCCTTTGGGAGGCCAAAAAAGGCCTCAAACCGGCTGAAAATCAACTGTGAGGCACAGTGCAGGTAAAGGGGCAGTGGAGGGTAGGTGGGTGGGATTGCGCGCGCATGCGTAGGGTGTGTGTGGGGGGGGCGCATTGTCTGGGTGCCGGCACGTGAGTGCGAGCATTCAAGCGCACGCACAATTTTTGGCACAGGAGCCCAAAAAGGTTAGCCACCGCTGTCCTATAGAATTGGGAGGTTCTCCCTTGTATATCCACACTGTATCTTGTGATGCATGGAGGATGTACTTCTTATGCTGCCTCTTCCTGAACTATGCATGTGTAGGATGGGGAAAAAAAACTGTATCCAAACCTGTTTTGTTATTCAAAGTTAATCTAACATTCCTTCATTCTCCTATCTTGCATTTGTAATTGTGATTTTCCTTTTTATTTCCCCTTTGTATTAAATAATCTTTGGATTATTTTCTTTGTTTTGGAGTGCATTTTTTGAAGCACTGAAGCTCCTCGTGTTCAACAGAATTTCTCAAAGTAATTTGTAAAGGGCTGCTATCAGCGTTTTGGAAGCCCTATTGTACTAAAAAAAAAAACAGAATTATAAAACTTGTTTTGTTGTTTTACACTTGTTTAAAAAATAATAATTGTTTTTAATCCTCCTATGTAGGCCGGGCTCCCCCTAGGAATACCACAGTGGATCTCAACAGTGGGAACATTGATGTGCCTCCTAATATGGCTTGCTGGGCAAACTTTCACAATGGTGTGGCTGCTGGGTTGAAGATCGCTCCAGCTTCCCAAATAGACTCTGCATGGATTGTCTATAACAAACCCAAAAATGCTGAACTTGCCAATGAATATGCAGGCTTTCTCATGGCTCTGGGTTTGAATGGCCATCTCACAAAACTTGCAACTCTCAATATCCATGACTACTTAACAAAGGTGAGGCCATAATTCAAAAGTAAGAGGTAGACAATGTTTTCTTTGGGTCAATATATATGTTATCATCTTTATATTGAGATAGATAGGATTATCACACTAAAAGCCACTTCACAACTGAACAGGGCCACTGATTAACAGAATAGTTGATTTCCTAACGATTTAATTCACTGTAGTGATTGGTATGGACATTGCATTAGTCATACAGTTTTAATTATATTATTAGTTATAATGCCAAATCTGTACTGTGGGTAGTTTTCTTGTATTGATGGTAACATGATGGTTCCTAATGCAAGCTTCACAAATATATTACACTGAATATTAATGCTTTTATGAATTTTTACAGAATTATCTATGCTGCAATTTTGACAGCAGTTTTTATATTTGTAGCAGATGTTGTAGTAAGCTACTATTAATATATCATTAATGTTAATATAAATTGCAGTGCAGTTTAAGAACCATGTCACTAACCCATAAAATAAGCTCTTAGGTTGTTTCCAGTTGTAGCTTGTAATAGTAAAAGTACATCTCTTCAATATCTGATTTTTGTGGATCTCCTCCTTTCCATTGTGGCCTTTCCCCATCAGAAATCTCTCCAGCCAAAAGAACTACAGTTCTTTGGTGGAGATTATTTCACCATACATGAGCATGTTTCCCATGAACCAAAGAATCCCCATTGCTCCCAAGGATATATAAATGTTTAAAAGCTTAGAACATTTTGCAGTTAGTTTTAATTTTGAGTATATGATGCACAGTATGTGTGCTTTTGTGTACAGATAGACCTCATTTAGCAACCACAATTGGGACTGGGAAGTTAGTTGTTAAGCAAAGCAGTCACTGAGTAAAATCATGACTATGCTTAGGATCTTATATCAGCTTTGCTTTACTGCAAATGTTATAAATGCAATAATTGGTTGTAAAGTTTACCGATGTAACTGAACGAGCAATAAACGAGGCAGATGTTAAACGAAGACTGCCTGTATTGCTTTGAATTCATTCATGCTTCTGATCAAGATGTTTTTTCCCCCTAATGGCAGGGTCATGAGATGATGAGCATTGGTCTGTTGCTAGGCGTTTCTGCTGCCAAGTTGGGCACAATGGATATGTCTATCACCCGGCTGCTCAGTATCCACATACCGGCTCTTTTGCCTCCGACTTCCACCGAGCTGGATGTTCCACATAATGTCCAAGTGGCGGCTGTGATAGGAATAGGCTTGGTGTACCAAGGGACAGCTCATAGGCATACTGCTGAAGTTCTCTTGTCAGAAATAGGTAAGGAGGAAGCCAGTTGGGATTAGATCTGTATTCTACTACACAAGGCAACCATGGTCTGAATGATTTACGTGCTGCTGTCTTACTAAAGGCGACAACTTAAGCTAAGACAAGGGAAACTCTTAAAGTGGCTGAGGTGAATGCTTAACTAAATTATCAATCAATCAAATACATGTAGCTGCCTGTCTCATGAGAAGTGACTCTGAATGTGTGCAACGATCTACAGGCATGATATTCTTCCGATTAAAATTGGAATTCTGATTTTTTTGGGAATCGCCCCCTCCTTTCCCCCCACCCCTTCTTCTCCTCCTTCCCCTCCCCTCGGAGGCCCCGCGTCAGGAGTTGCTACCGCCGGCGCAGCTCCACGCGGCTCCAGTCCCGCGTTGCCTCAGGAAGGGAAAGGCAAAAAGGAAGAGCCGCGGCGGCGCTTTGCAACGGCAGCAGCGGCTCCTGGTTTTTGCCTTTCCCTTCCCGAGGCAACGCGGGACTGGAGCCGCGTGGAGCTGCGCCGGCGGTAGCAACTCCTGACAGCCCCAGCCGGATACCTGAGCGGAGCCCGGGCGGTGCGAGCGGAGACCGCTGAGCGGCAGGAAAAGGGAGCTGGGCCAGCCACAGGAAAAGGGAGCTGGGCCAGCCACAGACTAGCCTCCGTGCAACACGCCGCCGCCCGGCCCTGGCGAGGGAAGGCAGCGGGCGCTCCCCGGGCGCGCGGCGGGGGTTCTCTTTTGGCCGGCCCCGATTTTTTTTTCAGAGCGGAATATCATGCCTGGATCTAATAAAAAACATTCATAAAGGCAAGCATTAAATGTATAAAAAGTCAACATTAAAAATAGAAGTTAATAAAAGTGCACAAATCCCAGGCGGTGAAAGAATGAGTGTATTATCCACCTCCATAGTGAAGCCAAACATATCTCAGGTTCCCTGGGACCCCCAAGCCTGCTGAGGGGCTCTTGAGGAGCTTCTGGAATATCAAGAGGAATGAAGCTAACCCAATCTTGGTGTGTGTGTGTGTGGGGGGGGGGAGATATTCCATCAGGTGGGTGCCACGGCAGCAAAAGCACACCTCCTGGGACTTACCAAATATAAATCCCTTGCTCCATCCTAGCTGCTTTTTCCATTTCCACTATTTTTCTTCCCTCATCGTTAGTTCTTGGTAGTTTTCCTTGCTTGTTCTTAATTTATTTGTAATCATTGTTTCTTGTTCTTAATATGGGGCAAAGTACTTTGCATAAAACACTCAAGATTCCCCATTTTACCAGGATTTTGAAAGAGATGTTGGCTAGTTCCAGTTATCTTACAAAATGAGTTGAAATGTAAAAAATGGTCTCAACATCTGAGGACCATTAGTTGTGTCTAAGCTTTTTAGTTCAGATATATTGAATAAAAATGGAATGTTAGTTTACTCATTTTAAAAGTTGATTAATAGTTGGATTTATGTATATATTTATTCAGGGCGTCCTCCAGGTCCTGAAATGGAATATTGCACTGACAGAGAGTCCTATTCACTGGCTGCTGGTTTAGCTTTGGGCATGGTTTGTCTTGGGGTAAGTGTGCTTTTTCCCCCCCTCTCAATTTTTATGTCATGTCAAATTGTTTGCTGTATTTTCCTTCAGAAACTGCAAATGCCAATTTGCTGACCAAGTTGCATATTTCAGTTTCCCTGCAAATACGTGAGTTGAATTGGATCACATTTTTTCCGAGTACAGAAAGTAAATAACACAAGTTTCTTCCTCAGCATGGCAGCAATTTGATAGGCATGTCTGATCTGAATGTGCCGGAGCAGCTTTATCAATATATGGTTGGTGGCCACCGGCGTTTTCAGGCTGGTGTGCACCGTGAAAAACACAAATCTCCAAGCTATCAAATTAAGGTACTGTTTTTATTTTTCCAACATTGTATCTTACAGAGAATCAAATCTATTTACCTAAGTAATATCTACATCACCTGACATTAACACTACAGAGAATATGCAGTATGGGCAACATAAATTTTTTGTCCATTTCTGCTTTTTGTTAGTTAGAGCCTTTATTTATTTGCACATGTCACAAAACAGTTTCATTGGATCATCCACATTACTACTTATAAAGCTCAGTTCCATATTTAATATGGAACTTTCTCAAGTATCTTCCTTGCTTTTTAAGCTTTGGTAGATTCTTCCTGTAATTGACACTGAGAATAATCTCGAAGAATAGGAGAAAGAGTTGCAACAACAGCAACCTCCAGATAAGAGAAACCTGAGTCCAAAGCAAGAATAAAGCTTGAAAAAGTGACTCTTCTTCCCTAGTTCTCTTTAGGATAAAAGCAGAGAGTGGGAAGGCACATGTAAAATTGCAAGATTCTGTTCCTGTAATCCTATAAACATGTTGCACATTTAATTTTCAATGCAGTATTACATCACACACATTTTTTGCAAACACCTAATTACAGTATGCAGTTTTGACTTGAGAACTGCTTCATAGACTTCATGGAAAAGTAAAGAATATGGTTCTCATATTGAATTAGGAAATGTAAATTTGTTCATAGCACACTAAATGAAAGTATCCCTCATCCATAGATATTTGCAGTATCCATCCATCAGTATAGGATTTAAACTGAATGTATGTTTTATTAACAGGAAGGAGATACTATAAACGTGGATGTAACTTGCCCAGGTGCAACTTTGGCATTAGCTATGATCTATCTCAAGACCAACAACAGGTATGAGGCTAGGAGATATGGTTAAATACAATGTATGGCACACTTAGGATCAGAGGGTAGTCTTGTGTTTAGATTATAGCAAACTACAATAGTACAAACTTTTAGGTCTTAGGAAAAAATAGTCATGTTACTCTTCCCAAGTCTATTTGTTCCTATCCTAGTTACCTTTAAGCATGAATGGTTAACTGCATTGGTTAGATTCAATTTCACAGCTCTGCTTCAGAGCATGCTATTGCTCAAGCAACTTTTTAAAGTAGCAATTTTTTTTCCCCTGGGATTGTGTGGAAGCTGTAGATGGTGAAAGAGTGCAGTACAGGATTTGCCCAAAGCGTTCCTTTATACAGCATTTCCATTGTCTACTGTATACTAGTATCAAATTAGCATTTTGAAGCACTTACATTTTCGTTAAAATGGTAATTTAAAGTATGAATGCTTAATGCTTAAGGGTAGTTCCCCCTTCAGAGAGTTCTCTCTGGGATATGTTAGAGGCTTTAGCATTTAGTAAATATAAGAAAAATTTGCAATTCAGGCTGAGCAAGAAGCATTGACCCCATTGTATCTTTCTTAATGTGCAAGGACTGTAGTAGCTGGACAGTGGATCTGGGAGATAAAGGAAAAATATATACCATATAGCCATAGCAAACTCAGCCACTTAAGATGCTTCCACTTAAGATGCATTGAAGCATTTTCCCATGCTTCATTAGGCAAGTTACTTTAATTTACAATTCTGCTTTTATCTTATATTTTGTTAGGTCGATTGCTGATTGGCTTTGTGCTCCAGACACAATGTATTTGTTGGACTTTGTAAAACCAGAATTCCTTTTACTGAGGGTATGTTTATAGTTTGCCTTTATTCTATTAGGAAAGGAAGCAGCTCAAAACAAAGTTAGTGTGCACTGTTATATCAAATCTGTTTAAATGTGCTATAGATTATCTTGCCAGGTAGTTCAATCACTCATTCCAGTGTTCCTCTGTAGGCTTTTTACTGATGATGTAATTAAAAGCACAGAGTTCCATCCTGCCACAGTTCAGCTCATTTTGTGTTTTACATGCAAGACTTGCTATGGCTAACAGAGGTAATAGGCAGCAAAGTACCACAAGTCTGCAATATTTTATATTCATAGTCCATGTGACTCAGTACAGTTCATACCATTTATGAAATCATCCCTTTAAGTTTTTCAGCAACATAAATTTAAATCTGATAGAATCGCACGGCTTAGTTGAATCTAAGAAAGCTGTTGCCTGAAAAATAAAGCATCGTGTATATTGTACTCCAAAATGCGAAACGTATTTCTATGACCTAATCTGCTTGGCAAAATTACGATGGATCCATCTGTGTCACTACAAACACCATTAGGCTGTGATTGGCATCCCCCACTGTTCTTTCTGTGAGGTTTATGCTCAAATTTGAGATATACTTAAATTAAACTTAAGAAGGGCTCATTGCTGGTTTTAAATTTTTATGCTGGCAATGACAGAAGTGTGTCTAAAAATTTTTTAACCATAAACATTTAAAAAAAGCCTCCCCACAAAGATGTTGGCAATTTTATCTTAATTATTTTCTTCCAAATATTGCTAGATAATTCCTGACAGTTTGATATTTCCCCACAGTGAGAAAAGAAGCACAGAAATCAATTTATTCTAATAAAGGATTAAATTTAGCCAGACGTATCTTGTATCATTTTTGACTAAAAAACCTGATTATGATTTGGTAGAAATAGAATAACAACTCACATTTGCTAATTAAAAATGATCAATCCATAAAATTCAGAAATGTGGTAACATAGTTTTAAACTAACTTATTAAATGTCATAAACTTTTGGGATCCAAGGTATATTTCACAAAAATGTATGCCTTTTAATTAAGTGTGTGAGCCTAGAAAGATGTTATCAGATGACTCCTGATTTGGGACTACCGTAGATTAACATGACTCTCTGTAATTTACAAAATGAAACACTAAAATAGCATATGTTCAAAGAGGCATTTTTCATTTATAAATATAAAATGAGTATTCTCTCACTTTTCAACGAGTTGATTACATGTTGATTTCTTCAGTTACATTGACCACCAGGAGACAGATATCATGTTACTGGTTTTGTACTGCTTGGAATTCATGGGTTCAGTTTTCCAGTAGAGAATTGAAGTCGAAAGAATAACATTTGGCTTCTTATATCTAATAAATCCCAAATAGGACAAAAACTGATTATGTAATGCTTGTCTCCTAGTGGTCGATGTAACTGAAAACAGCAAATAGGATATACACTGTGCAAAATTAAGAGGTATTTCTCCCTGTTCCAAGGTGTATATATGTGTGAGTCTGAAAATAATGTAACACTCTGTACATGGGAACATGACAGAATGTAACACCTGTATCTGCTCCGAGAGCTCAAGGATAGGTGGATTGTATATATCATTCTAATAGATTTTTTTTTCTGATTTCTTAAATCACTTTAGTTTCTGACCTCATTATCATAACTTAATTTTTAACCCTCTTGATTGTCATTTTTCTTGCTTGAAGACACTTGCTCGATGCTTGATTTTGTGGGATGATATAATGCCCAGTTCAAAGTGGATTGACAGCAATGTGCCACAAGTAAGTTGCTGCTTTTCAATATGCTTGTTACATATAATCAACATATTCTGCCTTCCAAGAACACTTTGTCCACTTGTGTCCCTAGATCATGACTAGCTACTTCTGAACCTCAATCTATTACAAATGAATTTTTTTATTTAGCATGTGGCACTAACAAATGAATAGGAGGGTAGGAATATTCCATGGCATTTAGTTAGTTTGTGTGAAAAGATATTCAGCTTCTTTAGGTCTTAGCTGAATATACTGTATGCATATACTAAAGTGCATTTTAGAAAAGCCTATGTGGCTGTCCCTTGCAGAATATTTAGAGTAACAGTGTGGTGAAATAATTAAAATGTATGATGGGTATTTCGGAGACACAGCTTCTGGTCAATTCTCAACCAGGGAAGGTGTCTAGGTCACTTTAAGTCAATCTCTCCTGGCCAAATCTACCCAAGAAAGTTTTTATGAATAAAATGAGAGGATGGAGAGCTTTATGTGTTGCCTTGGGGTACTGAATAAATGACTGGATATAAAGCTAGCAAGCGGACAAACTTATCTGGGCAACAATTGTACAGTGTCTATTAATCTCCCAAGAAACACCAGAATTTCTTTCAGCGTAGACTGAAAGTCACTTTTCTTATATGGAGTCAGTTAGGCAGGATTGTACATAAGATCCTATTGTGATTGTGACTCTATAATGTAGACTTGCAAGATGCTGAGAATCTCACTTTATTCCCATCTTGATAAACAGTTCATAAATTGAATAAAATGTGTGTGGTTCTTTCAGAAGTCAAACTTCTAGAAATCTGAGAAACCTGCCCATCTTTTTCCCCCCTGTAGCTTAATAATTTAGTTGGAAATAACAAGTCCCAGGCTATGTTGCTTGCATTATCCAGAACCCTTCCTAAACGGAACTCAAGGTGGCAGCAATGAGAGAATGTGATTTTTAGGTTCAGAGAACCTTTCTTGTAGAGGATGTTCTGTGGTAGGACAGGAAAGAGTGAATCTGTGAAAATTGCTTCCACCCTTGCCCTTGACAATCTGGTAACTTCCCAATATATTGCATTGCAATATGTACCATCTCTCCCAGCCACAGAAGGCTGGTCGATTGTGTCCTTTGTAATAAAAGATTAATTTAAGACTGCGGATGCCTTTTGTAAAATTGAGTCACCAATTGCAGTTATTACATTTCCACAGATTGTGAGAGAGAACAGTGTCTCCCTTCATGCAACTGAGATGCCATCATCGGAAGATCTTAATTTGGAGACCTTGGCGTAAGTCATCGTGCTCACTCTTGTAGAATCCTTAAGCATCTGAAATAAAGGACAGCTCTCAGGCTTATAATAATAGCAATAAGACATATATACCACTTCATAGTGCGTCACAGCACATTCTAAGTGGTTTACAGAATCAGTCTAATTCTCCCAACAATCTGGGTCCTCATTTTACTGACTTCAGTAGGATGGAAGGCTGAGTCAACCTTGAACTGGGTAGGATTGAACTCCTGGCAGTGGGTAGAGTCAACCTGCAATATTGCATTCTAACTACTGTGCCACTACGGCTCTATACACATTCATTTCTATGTAAAAATTGCTACAAAGTGACTGTAAATGCCAGAAACTTGAAAATATATACTAGTCCTGTTTTTGAAATCGGACTAGTGATGCCATGTGGATGAAATAGAGGGCAGCACTTATTATATTGCAAATATAATATGAGGAGGTACCTTTGGAGATGATTATATACAGGTATTTCTGTTTGTTGAATTTCTGGAAGAGAATAATACATGGAGTTGGCATTTTGCCCTACATTAGGCTTTCCCATCTGTTGATGTTAGCTATATCAACTATCAATGCATATCCCAAGGACATCTCCCCTGCTTGTGGCAACATAGAGACTCTAGGCTAATTCCTCTTTTAACACACCCTCAGGCTTCGCCACTCCTTCTCCTACATTGTAATCATTATACTTTTCAAGTATTAAATTATTATGATACTTTTCAAATGTTATTACTGAGTAGAGAAAAATGCTGATTTCTGGCTTCGTCTCATAATACAGCTGGAAAGGTCTCCCAGTTCAAATCGGAGGTTTCTGCAGTACATCTGATAATTGAGACGACGACTTGTGTGAATCCCCAAATTGCTTGTTTACTTTCACATTTCTCATTGGATGCAACAAACCGGTTCATAAGAAACCTAGTAGATTGCATATCATTTAATAGAATGCATTTAATTTGAAGATGAGGGTAGATTGGTACTTTGGGACCTGATGGGATTTGTAAAATCCAAACCTGTTAAAAAGAGAGGTGGCCGGTGGCCATTAATCTAGTATTTCAATGAATCTGTTTGAAGATGGCTTTTAAAACAAATCAGATTCATATCTTTGGAAACAACAGTCTGTGTATGACTCAGCTACTTTCTAAGCAAACAGAACTGCAGTAAGTAGTAAACAAGAAGGAGGTGTAGAGAAAGTGGATACATCTCTTAAGTGATTCTTTGCAGTAGTAGGAAATATTTTTCAACCTCTTTGTTTAGGACCTCTGTTTCTAAATTTGCATTAGATGAAATTAATGCAGTTGGTCCAGGAAGACTCATAGAGTAATGAAAAGGGAGCTAGATGGCTCTCAATATTTCATTTTGTTGTTTTCTTCCTGGACCAGTCTTCATTCCATTTCTCCTTCTTTGGAAAACCAGGATTGGAGCCTCTGTGGTGCAGTGGTTAGAGTGCAGTACTGCAAGCTATGTCTGCAGCCAGCTGCCTACAATTTGGCAGTTCAAATCCCACCAAGCTCCAGGTTGACTCAGCCTTCCATCCTTCCGAGGTGGGTAAAATGAGGACCCAGGTTGTTGGGGGCAATATGCTGACTCTGTAAACCGCTTAGAGAGGGCTGTAAAGCACTATTAAAGCAGTATATTGCTAAGTGCTATTGCTATTAACTATATAAAAAAAGGCATAATGGAAGATCTTGTCTGATTCAATAGTCACTAAGCTAAGTTATTTCAAGGCATTTCCTCA